ATGTCGGCTAAATGAAAACTGGAAATCACATGACATGTGAACTCAACTTATTGTAGAAATTTCTCCCACAATTTCGTTCTCATCCTACATTCTTCTTTCGATAATTCAAGAATGATGTTTTTTATTCGTGCAATTACATGCTCGACATGCACCCGAACTGATGCAATTTTTTCTAGTTTTTTCTTCATCTTTAGCTGAAAGCCGAGATTGTCCATTTTAAAATTATGAAATATTAAGGAATGCCCCATTTGGTATGTCAGACTCAATGGTAAAACCTCTGTCTGCCATAAGTTCATCTCCTGGCTTTAGTAGATTCAGAATCCCACAGTCACGAGTAATTTGCTTATCCCATTGAAGAGTAAAATCGTTGGGCGTTAGATACAATAAAATAATAAAGTAGGTATACACATGCAATCAACCAATATCGCAATGCAACTTAATGGACTAAAGAATAAAATTATGATTTTATGAACCGATTGTGCAAATACTTTTTGGCTAAATGGGTAAATGGACCGAGTCAAACATTCATTCTATATGCCAATATGGCAAGAGCTGCCGATAAGTTGAGAGAAATATCAAATTTTCTTGCATACGAAAACATGTGAGGGTAAAATATTTAGGGCGTGGCGTACTACGAGTGGGAATGGGACAATTGAAAATATTGTGCAAAGGCTCGCAATAGGATCAGTTGTAGTTGAGCTTCGTCAGGAAAGTTGGAAATATCAAGATGCAGTCTAAGTTCTGACACAAGCGTTCCTGGTTAGATCTTAAATAGTGTGTATATATAATTCTTGATGAAACCTGTTGCGAACACATCTAATTGTTGCCAAGTTGTGAGATTTTTACGTGTGCATTAGATATGTTTCCTTTATTTTATGTTTTTGATTTCTTAGTATCTTATGACATGGAACTGAGATTGAAATATATACATGGTAGTGGAAGCCAGTCATCGCAAGTCGAATTCGGAAATGAAGTGAGAACGAAATATGGATTCTGGGAATGCGATACTGGAAAATACTGCCTGGGAGTCAAACTCACTTTTGTAAATTACAAGCAAGATTACTACACGGCTATATCGTCCACTAAACCAAGAATTTTGCCTTCAACGGTAAGGAAATTTTTAAGTATGAAACTATATTTTGATTTTGATTTTTCTCAAAGTTTGCGCGCTCAATGTTTCGAAATCATATAGAATTCACATGCGTTTACATTGTAGAAAGTGTTTCAAAATGAAACAGACAATTCGGTTTTAAATAATTAATAAAAAACATTTTCATCTTACATTTTTGACAAAAGTTTACGCAATTAATTGTTATTACATTTTGAAAAAATTACAGTCAAATTACAGTCAAATTATGGTAAACAAAAGATTTGGGTTAGCTTGAAATGCGAGAGCGAGAATAGCGGATCTTGCAGCTGGAACGTCACCCTAGAAACAAATGTTCACATCTCTCAGGATAAAAACATTACTGACGTTTAGACTACCGCGCGCGTTACCTTCTACTGACGAAGAACGCATGTAATTGGTTAATCGGGTAATTTAAACGCATGTGATTGGTTAATCGGGTAATTTAAACGCATGTGATTGGTTAATCGGGTAGTTTAAACGCATGTGATTGGTTAATCGGATAGTTTAAACGCATCTGATTGGTTAATAAGGTAGATTGAACTCATCTAATTGGTTAATCGGGTAGTTTAAACACATCCACCAAGCTAAAATGAGACATGAATAGTAAAACTGCGATGTGTACGACTTGATCGATTGTTTTTGTGAAGATCGCGGAGGCTATACCCTGGTGCGTTTGTGTGTGGTTTATTGTGATATTGCCAAGACCTGAATGAATGGCTATGTAACGCCACCCAGGCCAAGTACATGTGTTTTGTGTTCAAAAGTAAGCTTACGTTGTCATCAGGTTCCAAGCATAACCCGGAAAGCACGCGTTTGACCCCGCCAGCTGGAATATTTATATACGAGCACGCGGTTTTAAGACATTTCTGTTCCTTTCTATGGATTATACACGTGTTTGCGCGAAACAATCTGTTGATTACTTCTTCTAGGAACAGTGTAAAAATTGGTTGAATTTGGTATGTGTGCTTTTTGATGGGTGAAAATGATTTGTTATATAGTTAGTGTCAAAGTTAAATTTTTTCTGTTTGCCGATTGGTCAAAACCGCGTCACGTGCCAGTCCACAAAACGTCATGTTCGGCAACCGGTCCGCAATCAAACATTTATTGCCCGGTCAATAATAAAATGGGTGCAATACGCATGCGTGTCAATCATGAAGTTCCACAGTTCATTTTTTAACTTTTTACTAAACATTTACGGCGTTCTATTTATCCAGTTTTGGTTTCAAATTAAGTTCACTCCAATAACCGGTGAGTTATTCATATTTTGACACTTATATATAACAAAACTCTCATTTACTGAGACCTCAGGAAAACAATGTGTTTTGTGCCCCTCGACCGCCGTTGTTGCCCTCGGCTTCGCCTCGGGCTACAACGGCGGTCTCGGGTCCACAAAACTCACTGTTTCCCTCGGTCTCAGTAAATAAGTGATAAATATCAAATCTTTCCAAGGCAGTACTCTACCACAAGGAAGCATCTATTAAATTACTGATGCAGGCGTTTATCAAATGCTGGAGCAACTTGCTTTAATTTACTGCATGCTAAAGTCTACAAATATGCCAATAAATTACAAATATTCTTGTCTGGACTGTAAAAGCCAGGTGTCTTGGCTAGCACAAAAGTAGTGAGATAAACAGCTATAATTTGGGCACCAGAACGCACAAAATAATACCAGGTGCCTTTCTTCATTACGTACCTTAGATATCATCATCACTAATGATGATGACCTCCACAGGACGAGCTATAAAGAAAAAACATTCCGAAGAACATGAGAAGTTTGCTTGACAACATGTAAGCCACCCGCAAGTCGGGTAGTTTTTGACGTCACACACTGGAGATAAACCTTAAACTCTAAGAGCGCAAAGCTTAATGAGAGCATGAGTAGTTGAAGCTTAGTAGTTGAATATTGCTGCTATTTGTAAATGAATTGTTCTCGTAAGGAGATATTTACCATGTTTCCAAAAAATGGGGAGCGCCATCTATGATTTCTAAACTGATTAAAAGATGCTCCCATTATGATTTGCACGCTCAGACTTTAATATTTAACGTTTAACGTTTGCAAAGGACAACTTTTTTCAAATAGCTGTATATGCACATTAAATTGCAATAGCTGTAGAACAAAAAAGTAAATGTGATATTCTTTCCCTGTTTACAATCCCCCTAAATAATGAACAGTATTAAATAGTAATGTGTGTAAATATTGACCATACTAAATAAATCTATTGCTTACCTTGGGTGGCCCGAGTGGTTGATGTTACCGTTGCTATAAGGGAAAAAAAGCCGAATGAGAAATTTGCTTCGCAACATGGCCAACCGCAACTCGAGCGGTTATGAATGGCGAGTGATATCAAGAGCTGGTCTTGTTTGAAATCACAACACATACATTCACTGCAGTTGTTGCTGCTGTTGGTTGTTATTGTTTAGGGGGCGACGCTCTTTGAAAAAACCCTGTACGGCTCCGTCATTACTTGTCCGATCGAAATGAAACTCGACATAATTATTCTAAGAATATTCCGCATCGATTGATGGTATTAGATTTTTCATTTTTGACTTTTGAAGCAACATACAAGCAATTTTTGACCGTAGCAAATAATATATACATATCATTAATATATTCAGCAAATATGATGTTTGTGATGTTACTCTGAGTGTATATCCACACCGGGCAAGCTTGAAAAATATGCCTGGCCATGGTGGGAATCGAACCTACGACCTTCGGAATACTAGGAATTAATACTTCTTCTTTCAGCAAATATATCAGCAAACAATCAGGAAGAAATTGTCTTATCTATTGTTGTGAACACAATCACTATAATCTGAATGTGAACGACTAATTATAACGAACCATTAATAATAAGCGTAAAGTTGACTAAATTTAACACGCTGGCTTAAGCCTGTTTTCCACTAGGCAGAATTTTGCGCGCGGAGCAGAATTTTTCTTTGTCTTTTCTAATTAGTTCCACCCGAGAAATCACAAGACAAAGAAAAATTCCGCACCGAGCCGAAAATTCCGCCTAGTGGAAAACTGCCTTTATACGTGGAATTTGGGGTCGCGTCGAATGCAATTCAAACAATAGATAATGAAACTTAATGAGGTTTATCATCTCATTATCTATCGTCTTAATTGCATTCGACGCGACCAAAATTCGACGTATAAAACATGCCTAAACGCTAATTTCTACCCAGGGAAATAAGAAACGGATCGGACCGGATCAGAGGTCTTTTCGATTCGGTCCGATCCAACAAGCGATCTCCAGTAAAAGGAGAAGTGGAGTGATCGGATCGGAAAAGAAAACAATGGAGCTTGTTCCAGTCTCACATCCTAATACGTTTAATAGACATTTGTTTTCTTGTAACAAACAATGGAACAGAATCTAGTGTTGATGATGACTAGTCAACTTGCAAGGACGCCGTGATCACTGCTGTGCATGAATTTATCCCTTCCAAATATGTGGACCCTCGCCGCTCACCACCTTGGATAACATCTACCATCTTACATCAGATTCGTAAAAAGGTTACTGCCCGTAGGAGATTCCTTACCCGTGGAACTAATTATCTTAAGGCGAAGTTTAACAAACTGAGAGCTGAAGTTAAAAAAATGATTCAAAATAACAGAGAGTAATTTTTCTCGTCATTAGGAAACATTATACAAATCAATCCAAAACCTTTTTCGTCGGTTTTCAAAATCAAGTCAAGTTCTGGAAATATACCCAACTGCGTCACAAGGTCGGATAGCAACAATCCTGGGACAAGATTATATGCTAACACATCTGACTCTTCCACAGTCCCTCGCGGATTAGGCGTTGACACGTTCTATCGTCCAACGCGAGCGACTGGGTACGAGTCAGCTAACACACCACATGACATTGCAACAATGTTTAATGAGTACTTTCATTCTGTCTACACAGGTTACTCTGAAAAACCCTCGCCATCTCAATCTGGTTCATCATCTCCTTTATCCTCATCCATTGACCTCTCTCTAGAAGAAGTATATCAAGCCTTACTGAACTTAGATCCTTCTAAAGCTCATTGTCCTGACGGGTTTCCTTTCCGCATTTTAAAGGAATGTTCCCTCCAATTAGCACCTTCACTTCATTACTTGTTTTCAAAGTCACTCCGCTTATCGCAGGTTCCCACCGAATGGAAATTAGCTAACATAATTCCTCTACTCAAGAAAGGAAACAAAGATCACGTTGAAAACTACCGTCCCATCTCTCTGTTGTGTATCATAAGCAAGACTCTTGAACGTTGTCAACCATTTATCGCACCGTAACAGTCCAGCATTCAGCGCAGTATGGTTTCGTCAACGGAAGATCAGGCACAGCTCAGTTATTGTCAATTTTAAACACTATTGGAAAGTGTACATCAACGAACCAAACATTTCTACTGATGGAACATACGCGGAATTTGTTTTGTTCCGACCAGCCGGTCCGATCCGCTCTTATTTTCCGGAGTGAAAATTAGCCTTAATTAAGTAACGTATCGCTTGAAATAGTTCATCTGTCAAAAAATATACCGGGTGTCCCCTAAAAAACTATACCCTCTTTGATTTCATGTAACGCAAAACCTATGGAGGCTATTTCACTAAAATAAAGACCATTGTATTCACAAAAGATTAACTTACATTTTGATATATAACATTTAATTTTTCGTGCAATATTGACGGAAATACAAGTGTTTGAAGTTGCGAGGAGTTTTAGAAATTGGTGAAATAACGACAAAAATCGCCGCATCAAATTACATTGAAAGCAGTTGTCACTTACATAAAATCTTTTTAACTTCAGTGATTTTATCTTAGATTATTTCCCTGCAGATTTACTTTTCAAAAGTAAAATAAAACAAAGTAATAATTTACGTTACAGTCAATTTCAGCTGACTTTTCATCGTAAGATTCCGAACTTCGTTCCGAACTTCGCAAATTCGTTGCCAAGTTCAAAAGTTCATAATGAAATTCACAAACAGGTTTGTAAACAAAGCCTCTGATTGGCTATTAAATCAAACCAGCCAATCAAATGCCCTGTTTACAAACCTGTTTGTGAATTTCATTATGAACTTTTGAACTTGGCAACGAATTTGCGAAGTTCGGAATCTTACGATGAAAAGTCAGCTGAAATTGACTGTAAAAGAAAGTTAATTTGATTTTCCTTGGGATTCAAATTCGCAATTTCATTCTTAAAGATGCTTCAGTTAACAAAAGACAAAATAGTTTGGATTTGTATCGAATACGTTAGAGCACAACGGTATACGGAATGAAATGGAATTTGGTATGCTGTTTTATGCAAATTTTTTATCTTTTCAGAAATGGTGGTTCAACTTTGAAACGTCAATAGCTCAGCGAATTAATATCGCGCGGAAAATTAAATGAGAAAAATCAAAGTCTAAGTTAATCCTTTGTGTATACAATGCTTTTTATTTTAGCTGAAATAGCTTTTATTGCTTTCACGTTACATGAAATCAAACAGGGTATAGTTTTTTTCGGGACACCCGGTATAATCACATATATATAAACATATATATATATAATTACCTGATTGAATAGGTCGTTCGCCAGGCGATGGTGGTGATGATGGCGAGGATGGTGATGGTGATGGTGGCGGGGATGGTGATGATGGCGGGGATGGTGATGATGGCGGGGATGGTGATGATGGTGGGGATGGCGATGATGGCGGAGATGGTGATGATGGCGGAGATGGTGACCTTGGTGGTGGAGATCGTGCTTGGACTAAAAAGAAAGATATGTTAAACAAGCCTACAAACTAAAAATACAAACAAACTATGAAATTAAAAGATATGAAACGAAAAGGCGAACTTGTGACGAGTTTGAAAGTTCGAAAAAGCAAAATTTGTACGTCACTAAAACATCTTCAGAATATTTTGAAACCGTTACATGAAGGCTGCATATTTTTTTTAAAAAAGAAACCATCTCAAGGAGCCATCCTCAAGAAATATGAGGAACTATTTTCATATTTACCTGACATTCAGCATATAAATATGAAACTAGTTCGTCATGTCTCTGATGGTCCTGAAATAGAATTAAAATATCGCGCGTCCGCCAAGACAAGCGCTAACTCGTTACGAAAATATCCCGGCAACTTAAATTTACAGAACTATAACTAATGCGTGTATTAACCTGGAGTCAACAGCGCAAGCCATGTAAACCTTAAGAATCAAGGACTAAATAATTGCTCGGCTATTATATGATTAATATAGCTGATAATGATGGTTGTACACAGTCTGCCTGACCTCTCAGATATCCGACACACGATATAACATCATGTTGTTGTTCGCGCGAATCTTTTGTATTGCGAGCTCTCGACTGGAACAATTAGATTTTTAATTAATACTTTTCAATTTAAACAACAGAAAATTCGCTTCGCGCAAAGAGATTCGTTAGTGGAACCTGTTCTAAACGTCGGCTAATGGATAATTCAAAACAACGGATAATGAGGCATTTTAGCTGATTATCTATTGTTTTGAATGCATTCGGTACATATAAAATGCGACGTTTAGAACAGGCCCAAGACCGTTTTCCATGAATTAGGCGAAATTTTCCGCGTGGAGCGGAATTTCTCTTTGTCCTTCTGATTAGTTGTACCCAAGAAATCACGACAACCTTTAGAAACGTATCGCTTAAGATTGTTTAACTGTCAAAATAAATAATCACATGTATATCCTCAAGCAGTATTCCTTGTTTTATCGTTTCTCTCGTTATTATATGAGTTTAAAAGTTGGTTTAGTGTCAAGTAGTATCATATGACTTGCCTCTGAGGACAAGGAAACAACTCGTTCCTATATTATCATTATGTTTGTTGTTGTTAAGTTTTAAAGGGGCTGCAGTAATTGGCTTGCGCTGTTGCAGATTCCCTGCCATGTGCTAATAATTAATATTTGTACAAGGGCTAAGCTATTAAATAAAATAAAATAAAATAAAAAGTAAAATAAAATAAATATAATTACCAAAACGTTCTTGCCGTTGGTAGTGCCCTGAAAATAAATATGTATATATCAGGTAAGTCTACAAACAAACAAACAAACAAACAAACAAACAAACAAACTATAAAGTGAAAATATATGGAAACTAAAAGCAAAAACGATCTATATCTTGTGAACGAGTTGGCAAGTTCGAAAAAACAATATGACAGTGAATATGAACAAACGTTAAATGTCTAACTCTATTAGCATTTGAAAACGGAGTTCAGTCCTTGCACCGAAGCTCCTCACAGCGAGTGCACGCGTGAGCACCACGCGTGAGCACTTTCATCCAATCACAATGCTAAACAGTTCATTTTAAAAGGAGATTTTTTTGTATGTTACGTAACACGCTCTCGAAACTTCCACTTAGTTATGACTATATTCAATTTTTTATATTTTTGAAAAGCGGCATATGAAAACAAACTTAAAAAGCATGTTTAGACAGTTTAGTGCTTTATCTGTATGTAAAACTATGATAAAATGAAAAGAGTTCAGATGGTACGCCAAAGAGAAAATGATGTCTGAACAGTGGTGAAACTAGAGAGTGTTTGGGTGTCCAGAGGCGAGACCCCCATTTAATTGTAATGCCTAATGGCGCAATAAGGATGCAAATACCATCGTTCGATTTAGCGTAAGAAATTGAACTTACGGATGTCAAATGTATTACTATAAACAACAGTATTCTAGCGATTTATGGCCTTTGTTTGTGAAAGCCAAGCGAGTGTATTGTTCACTAGTCGCTCAAAATTATTAAACTATTAAATTATAAAAAATGCAGTATGTTTGATCCTTGATAACTTTGGTATCGTTGGTTTTCTCTTTTTCGGCCGTGTACAATGCATATCACAAACCTCGAGCTGTTCTGGGAAAGACCCTGGGACCGAGGTTAAAACAAATCTCACATGAAAGGTTATTTGGCTAACCGAGGCCCGTGTGAACGCCTGAGCTGGCGTCTTGTTTTCTGCAAATTGTTCTGTTTTTCTGTAGGGGTACGAAATTATGAGCGAATATGGTAACAAAATTTAGTTATCACTATATAGGCCCAGCGAGTTAACGCTCTATAGAGCGTCTTGTTGTATTTTAATTGACAATTTTTTACTATTATTTCAGTATGTTTTTCAACCGGCAAATGCATCTAAAAAGATAGCTAACAGTGCAAGCTAGAGAATAAAGCTAAAACAAAGCAATTTTGAGATGTGCACCAAAACGATTTTCGGTTTTCACCGCAAATACGTGACGTAAAGGCGGTTTTCCACTAGGCGAAATTTTTCGACCGAATCGAAATTTCCCTTTGTTTCATGAGCTCTCGAGCAGAACTAATTGTAAAAAGACAAAGAGAAATTTCGTTTCGGTCGAAAAATTCCGCCTCGTGGAATCCGGCCTTAACAAGCACTCAGATGGAACAGAAATCTTTGAACAATAGAAGTTTCGGTCCAATCGAAAAATTTTGCCTCGAAGAAAACCGTGCGAAGATTGGAAATCTGCCTAGATGCAAGTCAACTATTTGCATTCGATGCGATCAAAATTCGACGTATATAAGAGGCTTAGAACATCTCAATGAAATACCCTGTACAAGGAAATACCCTGTATTTTAATAAATAAAGTTATAATTGATCTCTTTTGTAAATAAGGTCTGTTTTTGTCGCGCATATTAACTCAAAGCAGTTGGGAACAATCAAATCACTTATAATTATCGCTAATTTAAAAGGCTACTACAAAAAGGCTAGTCTTTGAAATTCAAATTAGTCAAATTAGTCATATTGTATTGAATTTATAATTATACTGCTAATCAATTAGCGAGCCGTAAAACAAAAGATTTTCTACTTATGGGATATGTACGCACAACTCAATGACATACCCTGTACAGGGTGTCCCAAAAAACCCGAAAATTATTGAAATCACTTATTGTTAAATTTGAATGCCCTACCAAACAGCTGGACGTAATGATGCGTAAAATATTGACAAGGTGCATGTATTAGAATTTAGTTAGGAATATCTCCTGGTAAAGTGCGCGATTTTCTGCTCCTGGGAATTAAAAACAGCTTCTTAAACAGTTTCCTTTATGCATAAAATTTACTTATGTCAATCATAAGTAAATTGGTCGTGGTAGAATTTGAATGCCTTAGCGCTCTGTTGGTCGTGGGGACCAACAGAGCGCTAAGGCATTCAAATTCTAATTCTAACAATTAAATTGTTGTTGGTGATTTCAATAGTTTTCGTTTTTTTTGGGACACCCTGTACAGTACAAGGCTACAAGCAGCGTTAAAATGAAGTTATAATTGATCTCTTTTGTAAATAAGACATGTTTTCGTCGCGTATCTACTCTACGCAGACGCAGTTTAAAACAATGAGATAACTGTAATTATGACTAAAGACTTTCAAAGACTAGCCATTTTTTGATACACATTTTATACTCTTTTTTATACACACTGTAAATATATAATTACCTATTCGTCTCAGTTGTCTTGGGGTTAGCGCTGAAAAAAAATATATCAAGTAAGTCTACAAATAAACAAGCAAACTATGAAATAGAAAGATATAAAACTAAAAGCAAAAACAAAGCACCACAGCAGAAATATTTCTCGATCTATCTTGTGAAAGAGTTTGGAAGTTCGAAAATTAAAGCAAAATTATTAAAACATTGGACAAACAAAGATATGTAATCTTTGTAAAACTGACTGTATTCAAGAAGTCCACAGAAGAGATGTCACACGCTGGAGATGCCCAGCACACGAGGGTTACAGAATTTGTTGCCGTATTTGCATATAAGATTACTCAAAGTCAATAGCCTCGTCTAGTCTGAAATGAGTTTTAGTCCTGCAAAAGTATATTTTTCTTGAAATATTGTTGTGATCAAGAGCATTAAAAATCAAGGACTGTCTATATAATTTCTTCGCTTTTATTACGGTTCATAGTTGATGATCATGGTTGTATTTAGTACAGAGTTTGCATTCCAGATATACAATACAGGATATGTCGTGCATCGTAAACGTAGCTAAACGATTCAATTTTTACACAGGACGAAAGAGCTGTTATTTAGCTTTTCTATGATACCTTTCTTGCTACGAATGTTCTCTGTTCAGTGGTTAATTGAACCATGTTTAATGCAATAATAGACATTTTTATGTCTCACTAAGACAAAGATTGACAAGTTTAGCTCATATTAATTTAAAATTCGACTTTAATTCCCTCTTGCCAGTCTTGGGAATTGTCTATGTTTCGTTTTCCATGCAATTCCCAACGGTGAAAGAATGTGACTTCGACCGGCAATTTTTATTTGACGATTATGTGGCCACTTCTCATCGCTACGATTTAAAAAGAGTATCATTGACAAGCTAAATAACTTTTCTTTCGTCCAATATAAAAATTGAATTGTTTAGCCACGTTTATGATGCACGAAAGCCTGTTGAATTTCCACTTTCGTACAATCATCTATAAGATGATCAGTTTGAACTTTGTCAAGCTGTACGGGAATTGTAGAATAAACATATGAAAGTCTGCTATTTACAATCAAATAACTTATCATTTACCTTCGCCATGAATATTGCGCTTGTGCACCAGGAGCGCATCGCTCCTGGTGAAGGACTGCCCACAGACGGCACATTGATACCGTGCGCGTCCGTGAACAGTCCTCTCGTGCCTCCTCAAATTCCCACGCTTGGTAAATCCAAATGAGCACACTCCACATACGTTAAGCATGTTGAATAGAAGGGTGTGCCTCAGATTTGCTGTATTATATAGCTCACAGCCGACCGGATATAAGCTATTCTACCATCTGATTGGCTCTC